GCCCCTCCTCCCTCAGACCCTGGAGCCCAGGCCCCAGCCCCTCCTCCCTCAGACCCTGGAGCCCAGGTCCCAGCCCCTCCTCCCTCAGACCCTGGAGCCCAGGCCCCAGCCCCTCCTCCCTCAGACCCTGGAGCCCAGGTCCCCAGCCACATTTTACATGGGGCCTCATCCATTTCACGCCTTTGGCCTTCTCCGAGTCTGGTCCCAGCTGGTCGTAGCCAAGGGCATCAGGTCCAGCAGGGAAGTAAGGGTCTCGGAACAGGATCCCCGAGTCCAGGCAGGCTGCCCGGATTGCCTCATAGCTCTGGCCCCGAAAGAGCTGCGGGCCCCCGGCTCCGACCCCGGCCTCCTCTTCCACGAGCTGGATGGTGACCCTCCCGCCGCCGCTCGCCATCTGGACACTGGCCTCACAGGCCAGCACCAGGCCCTTTAACCTCCTGAGTCACAGGGGTGGGGCCTCCTCCCCCACTGGAGACTCAGTGGGGGTCCCGAGGCATCGAGGAGCCTTTCCTCGTTAATATTAATTGATGGTTTGGGGTGCTGGGGAGCAGGGACGCCGCCTCAGTGGTTTCCTCCCTGGGGCGTGGGGCCTTCAATTGTGGCCAAGGTAGCAGCTTAATGGGCTTGGCCAGCAGCAGGAGAGAAGGCAGGCAGACCTGAGGGAGGACCGGCTGTGCTGTGGGAGCGCCGAGAAGGAGGTCAGTGTGGGGGCGCCTCTGCTACCAACGCTTGCGGGGCTGGGGAGGGAGGCGGTTTACCTCTGTGTCTCCATCTCTCAGATCGCCTCTCTCCGCCTCCCGCTGACAGGTTCTGTCTCCCACCTTCATCGCTCTCCCCCGTCCCTGTCATTGCTTCTCCCTCTCCATCTCTCTTGGGGTGGGGTGTGTGTGTGTGTGTGCGCGCGCGCATGCTCGCATGTGTGTTCTGGGACAGAGTCTCACTCTGTTGCCAGGCTGGAGTGCAATGGTGTTATCTCAGCTCACTGCAACCTCTGCCTTCCAGGTTCAAGGGATTCTCCTGCCTCAGCCTCCCGAGTAGCTGGGATTACAGGCCTGAGCCACCACACCTGGCTAATTTTGTTTTTTAGTAGAGACAGGGTTTCTCCATGTTGGTCAGGCTGGTCTTGAACTCCTGGCCTCACGTGATCCTCCAGCCCCCCAGTAAGCTGGGATTACAGGTGTGAGCTACGGCTTCTGGCTCTCTTGTTTTTTGTTTCGGGCAATATCTGTGCCTCTGCATTTCCCTGTCTCCATCCCTCTCTGGCTTTTTTTGTTGTTAATATAGAGACAGGTGGGGTGGGGCGTCTCCCTTTGTTGCCTAGACTGGTCTCGAACTCCTGGGCTCAAGTGATCTTTCCCACTTGGCCTCCCAAAGTTCTGGGATTACAGGTGTGAGCCACCATGCCCCGTCCCCTCAGTCTCTGTGTCTCTTTCAGCGCGTGTGTTTCTCTCTCTACCTGTCAGACCCAGGAGTCCAGGCCCCCAGCCTCTCCCCCCTCAGACCCTATCAGTGTGTCTTGTGTCGGCCTCCCTGTCTCCCCCCCTCCATCTTTCTCTCTGTCCCTGTAACCCACCTGTGGCTCCTCCATCATCCACCGCAGGACCCTGAGCCCCGCTTTGATCACGCCCCAAGCCCTCAGGACGCTCCTCCTCCCTCCCTGAAAAGGCACTCAGCCTGCTTGCCCAGGGAGGCTGACCCTGGAGGGGTGGCTCCTGCATCTGCCCTATGCTGGGAGCCACAGCTACCTGTGACCGTGAGGCCCTGCCCTAGCCCACACCACTCAGGGTCTGGGTGGAGCAGAATTTCCCACAAAGGACTCTGGAGCCGTTGGAGGAAATGGGAGAAGCAGGTTCGGAGACGCCAGAACCTCCCCAGGGCTGGGCCCGGCAGACCTTCCACCCTCCTCAAGGACATACACTGCCCTCCCAGTGCCTTGTCACCTTGATGCCACGCAGATGTCCCTCAAGCCTTTTGGGCTCCTTCCCTCCAAGTGGACCCACAGATATTGTCCTAGCCGCCCACGTACACGGCTACCAAAAGTGGATTACCAAACGGGCTTTCTGGCCCAGCCCGGCAGCTCACCCCTGTAATCCCAGCACTTCGGGAGGCCGAGGTGGGCGGAGCACCTGAGGTCAGGAGTTTGAGAGCAGCCAGGCCAACACAGTGAAACTCTGTCTCTACTAAAATACAAAAATTAGTCAGGCGTGGTGGCACATACCTGTAATCCCAGCTACTTAGGAGGCTGAGGCAGGAGAACTTCTTGAACCCGGGAGGTGGAGGTTGCAATGAGCCGAGATTGTGCCACTGCACTCCAGCCTGGGAGACAGAGCGAGACTCCATCTCAAGAAAAACCCCAGAAAACAGGGCCAGGCACAGTGGCTCACGCCCATAATTCCAGCACTTTGGGAGGTTGAGGTGGGCAGATCACTTGAGGCCAGGAGTTTGAGACCAGCCTGGCCAACATGGTGAAATCCCGTCTCTATTAAAAATACAAAAACTGGCCATGTGTGGTGGCTCACACCTGTAATCCCAGCACTTTGGGAGGCCAAGGCAGGCGGATCACCTGAGGTCAGTTGTTCGAGACCAGCCTGACCCACATGGAGAAACCCTGTCTCTATTAAAAATTAGCTGGGTGTGATGGCACATACCTGGAGGCTCAGCTACTCAGGAGGCTGAGGCAGAAGAATCACTTGAACCTGGGAGGCGGAGGTTGCAGTGATCTGAGATCACACCATTGCACTCCAGCCTAGGCAATAAGAGCAAAACTCTGTCTCAAAAAACAAAAATTAGCTGGGCATGGTGGCATATACCTATAGTCCCAGCTAGTCGGGAGGCTGAGGCAAGAAAATTGCTTGAACCTGGGAGGCAGAAGTTGCAGTGTGTGGAGATCACACCATTGCACTCCAGTCTAAGCGACAGAGCAAGAATCCATCTCAAAAAAATTAAAAAAAAA